GATGCCGCCTTTGAAGTTTGTCAGCACGCGATCGCCATATTTTAAACGGAAACATAGACTCGAATTGAGAAATTTGTGACAAGCTACGACAGAACTGTAATTTAAATTTTTAGAGATTAATAATTTAGTACATTTGAAATAATTTAATCTATTCTTCAACTAAAAGTACGAATAAAATAGTGCATATTATGTCTATAGTTGCCGTAAATAAATTAAACCTGGTTAATTTTTCTATGCACACCAGATAAAATGTCACTGAACAGCACTGGTTCCGACTAAAACATGGCTGATTCCGTCTGCGCGAACGAAATGCGCGTACTTATTTTTTCAAGCAGAGTGGCCATTCTGATTGTTTATTATTCTGTGCTTTAGTCGGACGATGACTGCTTCTTTGATTTTCCTTATTTTGTCAGATATTTCTATCATTACTACTATTTAAACATCTGTAACGATGAGTCCAAGCCATCACCGTTAAACCAGCGTGCGCGCGAACCAACCCATGAAGTAGGAGTGTATCGACAGTAGAAAGGGCAAAACTTTGCTATATAAACCGCATTATTTCCTCATAGAGGCAGAATCGTCAGGTGTTGACTGAAGGTTCTCTTCTTCCCTACCCCGGCTTGTGGACGTGTTGAGTTCACAAGTTGTTTCCGTTCCATACCGCCGTTACCGGAGAGCGTGTTGAGCTCTCCATTACCCGTACTCCGAAGCAGTCGTGTTGAGACTGTCGAGGAGTGTCCTATTAACCCGAATCACTTAAGGGACGTGTTGAGTTCCTTTCTTTTCTTTGTACCTATCGTCCGCTGTTATTAAATCGACACATCGTTCACGTAAAATTCCGAAAACACACTCGATTGCCGATAAGACAACTTCATACGACAAGGTCAAACTTAATTTGAATAAATAGGCCAGGTACTGAGAAGACTAAACTAAATTGTAAATATGTACATAAGATTTTTGTCAATTTAATTTAAGGAAGACAATAAAGTTTTATTTTTATTTTGAACTCTGTCTCTGACTGTCCAAAAGCTACCCGGATAGTGACTCCTACGAGAGGACGTCACAAATGGCGCCCGAGCAGAAAAATCATATATATATCATATATATAAATAACAGAAACAATACAAGGTGTGACTGGACACAGGCAAATAGTCGTAATAACAAAATACAGAATTTCGACAGACAGACTTGTTGTTGGAAATGCGGCCGCAGAGGCCACAATAGAAGAAACTGCAGAGCTATCGCTGTACTCTTCTGCAGCCACTGCGGAACCCGAGGAACAACTTCCAATAACTGCCAATGTAGAAGCCGACCGGAAAACTCCAACAGGACTGGACAAGAAGGAGGCAACCCAGTCAGCATTTAGAGTCCTCCCTAACAACCTCCAGCTACGCACACTATACAGATCAACGACCCCACACAACGATAACGTTCAGCAACGGTAAAAAGTTAAAAGCACTAATAGACACAGGAGCCCAAAATTCGTTTATAGGACAAAAAGGTAAAAAAATATTGGAACAATGTGGAACAAAAAGCGACAGAAAAGCTTTAAAGATCACGCTGGCAGATGGAAAAACCAGCAACATAGAAATCTGTTTTACAGCAAAATGTTCCATAGACAACGTTTGGAGAAAAGCCAAGCTACATTTTTTACCAAACCTAGCTTCAGAAGTAGTACTGGGAATGCATGAAATAACAAGATGGGGCCTTGATTTATCAAACATCTTAAATAGAAATCGCGTAAGAAGGAGAGAACAATACCAAACCAGAACAGAACACAGATCCAGATCGTACAATGCAGACAATAACAGAATACCGACCAATTCCAGGGTTAACGAAACACCAACCGCAAGATATCCGCTCCAACAGAGAAGCAAAATATATAACAAAACGACCTGCCGACTACCGACCGATACCGCGGTCGAAGACCAGACCGAAAATATACCGACTAACGACCGATACCGCGGTCGACAACCAGACCGAAGATATACCGAACTACCGACCGATACCGCGGTCGAAGACCAGACGGAAAATATACCGACTACCGACCGATACCGCGGTCGACAACCAGACCGAAGATATACCGAACTACCGACCGATACCGCGGCCGACGACCAGACCGAAGATATTCCGTCATACATACCGGAATTCACGAACAGTCCGAAACGAGAGCAGCTCGACATCAGTACTACACTAAACAATACCGAAAAAAAAACAATTACAGGAATTGTTACTAACCGAATTGGAGAAATTTAAACACATTAAAGGAACAACACATCTAACCGAACATACAATAAAACTTAAACATAATACACCGATCACCATACGAGAGGACGTCACACATCTTTCTATTGATATATATCTGGAATCTTGCCTTTTTATTTCTCCAATTCAATACTTGATAATAATACAGTTATTAGCGACACAATAGAAATAAACGCTATTATATTTATGACAATGGACGGTTTGCATGACTTCCTGTGATCTTTTAAGTGATTTATAGAGTGACATGAAACCAGTGAAGGTCCCGTTGCAGTTTTGAGTAAATTTCCGTGCCACCATTGCGTGTTTGAAATTGCAGGCCAATTTTTATTCACTTTATGAAACTCCCAGTTGTTATTCACAAAAGAGTTTTTCGCACGATTTTTCAAGTTTGGAAATAGGTCTTTGTCGGTACTAATTACAGTTTTATTCGATTGCTAACCTAGTTTTATTAGAAACACGGCAGATGCACGGGGCAGTCTCAACTTTATATCTATTTAAATCCAAATTACTACTGATTTATTAGTTGAGTTGTCATCTAAACTTCACGAGAAAAAAATTAGTATTTTAGAAGTTAAATAAGCTTTTTTTAATTCGGGAAGGGAATAAAAAAGTCGCCAAGCAACATCATTGTATTTTTATTTAAAAAAATTCCCGTATAAAAGGTATATTAATATAAAAACCATACATTACAGAGCGTTTTCAGAATAACTATTTCATCATCAGTGCTATCTGATCCCTAAATTAAGGAAACTATTCAATCTATGTTTGCAGCAAAGAGAGGTGCCCAAAGAATGGAACAATGCTATAACCATCCTTTTGCATAAAAAAGGAGATAGAACGGACCTAGAAAATTATAGACCTATTAGCATGTTGAACCACATATACAAGCTCTTCACTAGGTTAGTGACATCAAGATTGGAGAAAAAATTAGATTTCTACCAACCGAGAGAGCAGGCAGGATTCTGATCAAATTATGGTACCAATGATCACCTCCATACAGTAAAGACACTCATTGAAAAATCTATAGAATACAACAAACCTCTTGTCCTCACTTTCATAGATTTTCATAAAGCGTTCGACACGATCGAAATAGACAGCCTTATAGAAGCAATGAATGACAGCAGGATTGACCATAGGTATAGTGAGACTTATTACAATATTTACAAAAATGCCACTATGACTGTTAAAATAGACAATAAAACCCGACCAATAAAAATAAATCGTGGAATAAGGCAAGGAGATACATTGTCGCCGAAATTATTCATAACGGCATTAGAATATGCCTTTAAGATGATCAATTGGGACCACAGAGGAGTAACGATAGACGGCGAAAAGCTTAACCATCTCCGTTTAGCAGATGACATTGTCCTTATCACAGATAATTTAGGAGAAGCTACAGATATGATAAACGAATTGGATTTTGCATGTTCGAAGGTGGGCCTGAGAATGAACTTGACCAAAACTAAGTTTATGACAAATTTGGTCCCCAATAACCATTTGACTATTCAAGACAAAGTGGTAGAACTGGTGGAGAAATATACGGTGATGTTTTCTGTGATATACAAGGTGTAATCTACATCGACTACCTGGAGAAGGGCAAAACGATTACAGGGCTCTACTATGCCGAACTACTGGACTAATTCGGCCCAATATTTTGCCATTTGGCAAAGAAAAAAATCTCTTTCACCATGACAACGCATCGGGTCACGAGTAACTTCGCTGTCACCACGGTCAAATTGGGCTACGAACTCCTGTCCCATCTACCATATTCTCCAAATTTGGCCACCGTGCGACTTGTTTTTGTTTTCAAACTTAAAAAAGTCATTCACTGATAGAAATTTGAGTCGTATCAGGAGGTCATCGCCGCCATGGAGGTCTACTTGCTGACCTCGAGAAAACGTAGTTTTCAGACGGGTTAAAGAAGTTGCTGCATCGCTGGGTCAAGTGTATTGAACTATGTTGAGAAATAAATCACCACTTTTCCTATATTTCCGTTTTTATTTTTTAGGCTTGTCGGAGGTGGGTGCTTATTGGTCCTACCTCATATATTAATCTTTTCCATATCATATACCAGGGCATTTGGAACAAAAAATACCGGAATAAATGGATTTTTAAGCACAGAACTCATCGACTTATAACTTTTGCTTGTTTTATAGTGCATAAAATACATCCAAAAGTGCATGCAATTTTGGAGCCATATTGAATGGTATGAAAACATGTCAAAATCAGTATATTAAGGACCAGATTTTATTGCTCGAGGGTTTTTGGAGCCGCTGAACACGAATACGCCATCAGAACCGACACCCGGAGCACCTGGTGCCAAGGAACTTTATCTTCTGGAGGTTAGATAGTTTTCAGAACTACATTGATGCAAACAGATTACTCAGGGTGTTTTTGGTGTTGCTGAACACAAATGGACCATCAGAATCTACCCCCAGAACACTTGTTACCCAGGGTTACTGCTAAGGCACGCTATCTTGTGAAGTTTCGAGGGTTTTCAGCACTAAATATTTATGCAAACAGATTACTCGGGGGTTTTTGGGATTGCTTAACACAAATATGACGTAAGTGAAGGTCTCTGGAGTAACTGGTGACCAAGGTGACGGATAACAACGTCAATGATGATTTAATGACAGTGGCACTAGCGAAAACGCCATTTTAAGTCACTCTAGATCTAGTGTCGTATGCGTTTTTTTTTTAATTCTAATAAAAAATCGAAAGAAGTATTTACTTACATGGAACAACACCGCCAAACTTCTCGGGATCACTATTAATCAACCTATTCTTTAACGTTCTTCTTCCGACGCCTTGCGTTCCAATGAGAACCAACGTTTTCCTCTTAAAAGGAGGCATCTTTGTCACTTCCTCATACAATAACAACTCGGCTTTATCAAAATCACAGTTGCTCTTTGACTGGTATGTAATTTTTTTCTTCTTCTTCGAGATTCTTGCTCCGCAGATACTTATGGTATGTACAAAGTCCGCTTCTGGGGGTACGAAGGCTTTTCTTCGTTCTTCTAACTCTGAAATTGTATATTGTTAAAACTTATAAGTAAAGTTAAAAAATCATCAAAATTATCATATTTAGTATGTGTAGGATTTCGCGGGCGGTATTTTGTAAAGATACATCGGAATAATGTTTCGTGTGTGATTTACAGGCTGTTTTCCGGAATTGTTTATTCCCGACGTTACGGCTGTAACTCTAGCAATCGTATCATTCCCTCAACCTGTGATCCTATTATAATATCTGCCCCACTTGCAGACAACACTCCATAAAAAATAGTTTCGGAACATGGCCTGTAAAACCAAGTAATCATGTATCTTAACATACTTTTCATTTTCATTTACATTTCATTTACATTATTCTAAAAAGTTGCGTTGATATCGAAATAGCTGTTTTTTAAAATAATATATTGTAAATAAAGGCAAATATTTTTAACCAAGCAAAACTTTTATCAAAAATGACATATTTCGATAAAAACAGTATTCTTACCTAAAGAGGGAATGAGACCAGTTGTTCCATCTCCACCAACTTTTTTCGCCTGCCACCAATTAGGATCGCGTTGATCAACTATCTGGAGAATATCTCCACGATCAAACGGAAGGCCTATTTCTTTACATGGCAGGAGTGTGTCTTCTTGGGGGATGTATTCGTAGAGAGCTCGCATGTAGCACTAAAAAATAAATTCATTAAACCAAATGGAACAAAATAGAATTAATTAAATTCATACTTATTTAAAAATAGTTTAATAGTATATTATAAAATATACACGCACCTCTACACTCTAATACAAATCATAACAACCAAGAATTATCATCAAACGAGCAATTACAATTGTTATAAATACATTACCGTTAATTTTTTAGTTACTCCATTGTTTCCATTGGCCATAACAATATTTGAATGTGTCACTTCACCGTTTCCGGTATTACTGTGAACTTTGAGGGTCACGTGGTCCTTCGTTTTGGCGATTTCCGTTTGCAAATCTTCGGGGGTAGCTACTGGAGTTCCGTTAACCTCCAAAATAATGTCTCCAACGTGTAGAAGGCCTTGTTTTTCGATCATACCACCTTCAATTATTCGAGCTATTGTTAGATTTCCGTTTTCATCAACTTGCACCTGCAAATAAAAAAGTGTTATAGTATTCTAATAGAACTGTTTTTTTTTTCGGTAATCATTAAAATTTTTCTTTAAATTATTTACCAATATTTTGCTATTACATTATAAAAAATATGTTATATATATTAAGATCATTGTTCTCTTTAAATAAATTAAATTTCGTCTTTAACACGTTAAACGCCACGAGAAGCAAGTGTGCATCTATTACATTGAATTTTCTGACGCCACGAGAAGCACCGTTGCATCTCATACTCTTAGTGTATTTCATGCTGCATGATACAATCGAGCTTCACAATATCCATTCATTTATTTGTAATAAAGTTTCTCAGTAGCCTGATGAACTCTTTCTAATATTTAGCCTGCATTTTTAGGATACTAATGTCTAGCAATAAAACAATATGTTATTATGCAACTTGAAACTAAGTTTTATTTACATATAACGTAAACGACTGTTTTTTTACTGCAAAAAATCAGTAAATGTCCTTTAAAATTAGCAATACATGTTTCTAGTTAAGAAATAAATAAAAAATATAATACTTGTGTATATACAAATGTCTATAGATTACATGAATGAACCTCGCAAAAGCACGTGATACAATAGAATTGATTGCACTGAATGCACCTGAAACGAGAAAAGGGAGTTTTAGTCTGTGCAAATTTTCTACCATTATCTGCTGAATTTTTTGCGTAACATGTGACACATCTTCTTCTGGCCGAACTTTGCATTTCCTCTATATGGTGACCTTCACGAGCATGTGGCATCTGTTGCTCTGGATTAGTTAGTCTAGAGAAATCTACCAGTTGACAAACGAACTCCTTCCTTGAATGATGTGATGGACATGTTATTGTTGGTTACTTTTTGGTAAATTATATAGGCGTTGACAAAGGGTGATCCTAGAAGAAGCCCAATTGCCATTTTATGCTACCATTTGACTGATTTTCGTAATGCTGTAGACTAAGACTTTAGTTGGTCGGATATATCTATAAATCCTTTGCTCTTATTGTAGTCGACAACAGAAACTGGCTTTTCAACTATTCCTTCCTTTTGATGGACGTCTACAATTTCAGCAGTATGCTTTGTACTCAGCCTAAGCACTTCGCGTTTGTCCTTTCACTTAGTTACTACTACACCTGTGTTACTCTCCATCCCAATAATCTCCCCTTTCTTTAATTTTGCACCTGTCACTTCTTTCGGATTAAGTTTTCTGTTTTGCCTCAAAGTTTATCATTACCACAATAAATTTGTAGATCATAAGTATAACCACCATCCAAGCAGAGTTTGTATATTTTCTTCCCGAACTTATGTCTCTTGTTTTTGATATACTGCCTAAATGACAGTCTGTCCCTAAACGGAACTACAGTTTCATCAATGCAGAGTTCTTCTCCCGGCACTACCACTCTTTGAAAATTTGATACCAACTTCTCCAATAGGGGTGATAGTTTATACAGTCGAAGTTCTTTGTCACTATTTTCATTGTCACTAAAATGTAAATTGGCAAGTAATAATTCAAAACGATTACGCGACATAAGACACTTTACTTTGCTTTCATATAATGGAATTTTTGACCAATACGAACACAACTTTGGCAATGTTTGCAATCCCATCCAGACAAGAATGGCCAAAAATGTCTTTATTTCTTCGTATTTGTATCTACCCACTTATGAATTCTAGCTTTTGGACCGTGACCACCTATATTCAACTTCTGATGTGCATATCGATTAGTTTCTTGCACAATCCACTCAATAATATCGTCATTCACAAATAGTTGAAAATAGTCATGGGAGTTTTATTATACATCTCAAAAAACTCAGCTTTGATACCTGAGTCTTGAACACTGAATGTAATATTTTTCAAGTTCTGACCATTTACATTCTTCCATATCAAAGGTGTGTTATCATCAATCGCAATGTCATCGTCTTCTGAAGAACTTTCATCATCTGGCAGTCGATATTGGAAAATAACATTTTCAATGGTATCGTCTACTGTTCTTGAATTTGCGATGTTGAAGGTAAATTTTGTAAATTACTTTGCATTTTTGTCTTTTGCTTTCTGGAATACCTTGATTTGACGAAGAACTACTTATTTCGTCATCACTATCTAATTCAAAATTTTTATCCCGAACACTGTCATCACTGTCTTCGTCTGAAAAAACTCTTCCACTAGCTTTTGCAAACGCTTCTGCTCGTTTTCATATTGGAAACTGATAAGACACACTACAACCTCGCCTACCGACAACTAACTAATAAGTAACATGTAATGCATTTTCTAGCGATTTAAGATATAAAATAAACAAGCTACGACAGGTTTATTCTTGTCTTATACGAGAAGCAAGTGTGCATCACATGGCTCCAGGAATCCAAAAGTTATTTGTGGCACGAGATGCACACGTGCTTCTCAATTAAAATAATTCTAAAAAGCAATAAAAATGTAAGATTTTGTACTCAAACTAAAGCATAACTATTAAAAATGCGTAGACCAGCACTTTAAATGTGTTTAATATATCGCCCACATAACTTTTTTTACTATGCATTGTGACGTTTAAGGTGTTAGATATAAGAGAGAAAGGTGGAATAACCTGCTTCAGCATCTCGAAAGGGATAACTCGGGGCAGGGTTTCAAGATTGTCTGCATCGAATTGAAGGGGAAAAAGACACCCAAACCCCTGCCTGAGGAGGAGTAACTCCGTTTAATACGGGAACTCTTTCCTCAGGTGGAGGATAGGCGTGAAAGGGATACTGGTTTCGTATATGCGGAAACTTTCACTGAATTGGAACTCGGCGAGGCTGTTGGACGGATGAAGATCCGAAAAGCACCTGGCATAGATAGAGTCATGCCGGAGACAGTAAGACTCGCCGCACTCAAATACTCACAGCTTTTTCTGAGATTTCTAAACAACTTGCTTGAACAACAGCAATTTCCAACAATTTTGAAAAAAGCTAAGGTTGTCCTTATCCCTAAAGGTAGAGGGGAAGAGGAAGAGGTGCGATTTCGGCCAATTTGCCTTCTTAGTTCGATAGCTAAATTGTACGAACAGCTTGTGAAAGGCCTCTTTAGTAACGCAGGATACAAAGAGATGGGTGGCTCTCATCCTGCTTGACGTCAAGAATGCCTTTAATACGGCATCATGAAAAAAAAATCATTTCCAGGCTGAGAGAATTGGGCGTTAGTGGTCAACGTAATAACGTAACTGGTCAACGTAATTGACAGATAATTTACTGACAGATCCATAAGAGAAAAATATACCAGCATCAGTTTGTCGCAGGGTGTTCCGCAGGATTCAGTACTAGGTCCCACCTGTGGAATGTCCTATACGATGGATTGTTGAGGCTACAGATACCAAACATTGGAGGCCCAGGTAGCACCAAAAGAAAGGTGCTAAATGGAATTTTCCAGTCGGTGGTAACCTACGCTGCCCCTGTGTGGTGTAGTGTACTAAACACTGCGAAATACGCTAAGCTGATGGAGACTTCGCAAAGGCGAATGCTCCTCAGGGTATCTAGCGCATATAGGACAGTTTCAAATGAGGCTCTATATGTCATTGGAGCGGTGATACGATCGTTTTGTTGTGCAAAGAGCGAGCGAGGATGTATGCGAGGAAGACAGGTATAAATATAGATGAGAATGAGAGAGAAAGAACGATAGTAGAGTGGCAGAGAGAATGGGCGAATGATAGTGGAAAGGCAAGGTGGACGAAGGAGCTTATTCCGATCTGAGACCGTGGTGGGAATGTAAGTTCAGGAAACTAGACTACTTCCTGACGCAGTTTCTGACCGGACATGGTAGTTTTGGCACCTTTACAAATAGAATAGGCAAATCTGCCTCGGCAGACTGTACTGTTTGTGGGGTACCGGACGCTCCCGCCCACATTTTTAACTGCCAGAGATGGGCAAATGAGAGGGGAGATTTCGAGAGGCGAATGGGTTTCGGGCTGGATGAAAGAAACATTGTAAACATAATGTTGAGAGGAGAGAAAGAATGGAGAGAAGTACACTGTCTGATTTCTGGGGTGATGAAGAAAAAGGAGCAGGAGGACAGAGGAGGAAATTGAGCCAGGGATCTGAAATTTATGGTTAATATTATTTATTAGTTTATGGCCTAACGTCTAGAACATTTTCTGATTTACGGTAATAGGTATGGTTATTTATAAATTTTTAGTTTTTTATTTTAGTTGTTTATTGAGAGGCAAGACCACCTCTCTGGAACGGTGGTAAGGTTTTAACCGGTACACGGTTAATCCGGCACTACCCTGGCGTCTTCTTCAGCCGAAAGATGCCAGGGTGTCTTGTTCCGTGACGTAGATATCTAAAAAATTTCCCCCACCGTTGCCTGTCACAATTCAATGGTACCTTCTAGTAATAGGCTCTTACTGGAATCAGGCAATACGGCAATTAAAAAAAAAAGGTGTTAGATATATATTTAGTCGACTTCCCTTATTGTTACCAGTATTACTACTTTTAGGCGGCAGACACAATGCTGATTTATCAGATCTATTGTCTTGGTATATTCCGTATACCCCAAATATCCGTTCTTTTTACATTGATACAGATGGTCTTCCTATAGAGACTTTTTAACTTTGACAGCTAATAGCGGCCATAGTTGATGACATCTCACACAAACTTTATTTTATTTAAATTTAAAGATAGGAATACTGTTGTGTTTTAAGAAATAGCTCCTGGTCAATTCTCCATCAACAAACATGTATTTCGTTTTTTATATTGTTATTTGTATGTTACATCATCATTTAAATAAGAAAGTATATATATTCAAAGTTTTAACCAGATACAGTGAACGAATAAATGCGCATTCCAACACACTGTCATGTTTTCGATGATAAACTAAGTTGCCCAAGAGAAAACTATTTGAACCCGCTTGAACTTGTGAGGAAGCAGTATTTGAATATTTAAACAAGTGATTAACTTGATTAATTTTGTTTTAATTATAATCGTATTTTATTATTATTGTTGTCATTGTATCTAAAACCAAAATTAATAATTTAGTAGTTATTCAATAAAAGACGGAGACTCGCTACCGAATGAAAAAATACATGTAACGGATCTTTATGGAAAGTCTCTTCATACAAAACAAATTTCTTATTCTGTATTTTGAAATTTATTATATTATTTCGAGTAAATAACAAAAAAGGATCGCGAAAGACGAAAAAAATTAAGAAAAATTCGTCACAACTAAGTAGAAAACTTACCGTTAATCCTAGAGGTTCTCCCGGTTTTTTCCGGACCCCCACCATTCTGTACTCCTCTCCAGTCATTCCGTTTGGAAATAATTTCGGCGAGTTATCTTTTTCAGGTTTGGGATTTTCGTATATTTTTGCTATGTCGTCGTGGCAATCTATAAGAGTCTTGATCTCGGGGCTATTGAGCAAATTTCCTAATTCTCTAGCATCGATGTTCCACGATAAGCTGCACCTGATCTGCACCTCTTTCAATAAGTCTCTGCCTTCTGTGCTCTCCGGTTTTGGTATTACAGGGATATCGTCTTCGATTTCATGAACCTGTAAGAAATAATTAACATTATTGTTATTATTAAAAATACTGTTAAGTACAATTCTTTGTATAAATCAAACTACTTTTGCATTCGATTTGTCTTCCTTTTTGCAGGAAATTACAAGTGCTAAGATAGCGCAATCTTGCGATGTTAGTCAATAAATTAAACAGCGCTATAGCTACTTTTACTTTGCTCATGAGATTGAAATGTTGGCGAAGAAACAGGCGAAGAGAAAAGTAATACAGATTTCGTTAACAAAACGTAAAGAAGTTTGTGGCAAGTAAATCAATAAAAAAATATCAAAAATGGAGAACATAACATAAATGGGTGCACATGTTAATACAAACATTTACCGATCGAGCAAATACAAACTAATATACTTGAAAATTAACTTAAAACTTAGAATATGATGAAAAGAGTACACCAAGGGAAAAACCATAGCATTAAACTTCTGACTTTAAAGAAATTATGTGGAGAGGTAGAGATTTCTCAGAGTCAGACACTGAAAAGGAAACATATCGAATAATTTCAAGAAATTTTTTTGTACTACACTTCCACCAATCTAATGAGGTAGTGGATGAAAATGGAAAACCAAATTATAATATCTCATTTGAAAGCAACTTTGAATAGCTTGCACATATGCATATATTGGCAATAATAATTTTGTTTGCACTATGTCGACATAGGTCAGCTGATATCTAATGGTTTCACTTTAGCAGATTAAAGTGTCAGGATGTTCTTCATCGTGTTCTGGCCAATTCGAATATTGGCATATTAGTCCTAATACAAATTTTTCGTGATAAAGACGTCTTGGTTATCAATTTATCACCGCACAACAAAATTTGCACATTTATAAAGTTGCCGAACACTAAAAATAAATACAATGATGAACCAGAAGGCAAATCGCACCAAAATTTCACAAAGAAATTAAGAAATCTTGAGAATCATGCAAGGAATTAAAGTAAGATGGCCAGGCAGAAAGAAGAAGAATGTCACGAAAGAAGGAAAACATAAAAATCGAAAGAAAAGTCGAAAGAAAATGTAAAAAGTATTTTTGAGGTGTGTATATTTTAGGCAATTCCTAGCTGAGCGCTTTCGGCTTTACAAAGCCATCATCAGAGCTATGGTCAATTTTTTAAATACCACTACAAAGGAGAGATCTCATTTCCTTATATTTCCAAATTATGATTTTTGTTGCAATTCTTAGAACATATAAAAAAAAACATATAAAAAACCGACACTGGACTTCACAAACACGTTAAAAAAATTGAAAAAAATGTTTGTCATGGTGCGGGTGTAAGAACCCGACCATTGTTTGATCTGAGGAGGTAGGCTATTCTGCCTACCTCCTCAGATCAAACACTTCAAAAATACTTTTTACATTTTCTTTCGACTTGTCATAAGTGTGTACAAAAAATATCAGTCTTTTGATGATTAAACATAAAAATGCTAAAGAACTCGTAGTTGGACCATGAAAAATGAAGTGTCATATGAAAGTTTCTAATAAACGAAAGCAAACCATCTTTAAAATTGCTTAACTGGTTGATGAGAAATGGTTTTATTCGAGAGCAAATAAAAGTAGAAGACAAAAAGAGAACTTGTACCAAGAATCAGAGAAGTATTTATGTAGTTTCATTGACTGTTCCCAGCAGATGAATCCCATTACTTCCGACGAGATAGCATAAAAAGAAAATATATTTCACCAACTTTGAACATGTCGCTCATATATCTAGAGTATGAAAAAAAATGCACAGAAGACTTAAAAAGCTCCTCTCGCTGTTTATGTTTCGCAAAACAAGTTTAATATGCATTTTCATGCAACAAATGGAAAAAAATGTACGAAAAAAAATTTATGTAAAATATACAGCACATAATATGGGGTTTGTTTTATAAGGTTGATTTAAGCAAGAAAACCAAACGATACCCATTACGATCTACTGTAATGGGAGAACGATAACAATAAAAGAAAAGAAAAAGGATTTAATGGACTTACTTGCGCGCTAAAATATGTTTTAGCTACTAAGTTAGAGGTTTGTTTTAGTTTTTTTCATGTCAAAAGTGCGTAAACATGGCTTAACACACAAGATATTCTAAATATGTTTTTGTAACGGCAAATGTGTCTATACTTTTTGATCGCAGAAATTAGAATAATAAAACTTGGGTGAAATTTTTCCTGAAATGTTGTTTTACGTCATTAGATTTTCATTAAAAACAATAAAGTGTTACACTTTTTATCATTAAAATAGTATTTTTTATTTAAAGTTTTATGATTTATCACAAAAACTCCACTTTGTGACGTAGTCACCTTTGCTTCTGAGCCACTCAAATGTGAATGATGTCTTCGAAATAATAATTAAGCTTTGGAGAATACCCCAAATTGTAAATAACATTTATAGAGCGATTAATATGGGCAATGCATGGCATATGCTACGTCATACATTATCATAATTTACTGTTATAATAGAGTTACATTATGAAAGTAAAAGAAAAATGACATTTCGATGATACACGTAAAATACAGATTTAATAATAGTTAAATACCACAGCGGTTGGTCGATTACTCGATTAGTCACGGACATTTCTGTGTAAATTAGAACAATGAGTCAATTGGGTTAATATATTTAATAGTAATACAATTGTTGATTCCCGTGAGCCAAAAGAAACGAATAGTACTTTAAACGATAATGGCAATCCCTAATTATATATTTATTATTATCACAATAGCGTACGTTTCTCCAAGTGCAATTTCATGAAGTAAATTATATTTTTTAATTATAAATGCAATGAAAATTAAATTATAATGGAATTGTTATACGAATTCTTCTATGATACCTAAACCTCGATGGAAAATTCCGATGATTTAATAATGGGGTAGTTAGGGTTAGGGTGCAGGTAGTCAAGAAGAGATAACATGGACTATACTTTCTCTTTATACTATGACTATACTATAATAAAGGATTTGGTTCAGGCGCGACTTCAAGCGACAATAAGAAGAAAACGAAAGCGCCATAAATCTTTTTATTTTAGAAAAAATGACTATATTGCTTAAAACAAAATATATCTATCACAAAAAGACATTATCACAAAAACACAATAAAAGGCATAGGTCACATCAGAATTCTAACACCACAACTAAATACTATGCAAGCAACAACAATAAGAGTACAAATGAGGCAAGAAGAAGTCATAATTACCTCCGCCTACGTAAGACCACAAGATCTACTGATTGAAGACGACTTAAATACGTTCCTAAACGACGAACCCTCAATCATAATAGGAGACATAATAAGAGCATCAATAAGATGCTTAGCATGAAGAAAAAGCAAACTTAGACTAAAAACAAAAATAAGAATAATAAACAGTATAATTCTTCCTATACTAACATATGCATCTCTCGCATGGGGACACATATGCAATACATCAAAAAAGAAAATACAAGCGGCACATAACAACAGTCTAAGAGAAGCAGTCAACGTACCGAGATACGTAGCAGAAAGATTCCTCTTTAGAGAACTACAACAAATCAGAGTGACTGACACAATGAAAGAAAAAGCTAGGACAAAGTTCGCGGAGATAGAGAACCACCCAGCCATATATTGCGAGAGATAATGAGGTACGACGCTTTCCACAGATGGAAGCACAAAAGACCCAAACAACAAATAGTAGAATAAAATCATAATACTAGAGAGAAAATCAACAATCACACCAGAGAGAAAACAAAACACCAGAGAGAAAACATTTCAAAAAACAACAACAACGCACAATGAAGATAGTTCGTAGCTCATAACACTCGTGGACAATCGCAACGTACAGCGTGGACCCAGTTAATTTTAAGTAGATAATTATTATATTAATATACACTAATTCTGATTTTATGTTTCAGGCATCCTACAAAAAAAAATCAAAAAAACACAAAAAACGGCTTCGGCCACAAAAAAATCAAAAAACTACTAACAAAAACCGGCGCAAGCCACAAAAAAATATTAACAAAAACCCAAAAATCCGGGCACGTAGAGCCCAACCCCTTGAGCACCAAGTCGCCGAACTGAGCCTAGCTCAGAGCGGAGACTTGAGGCCCAAGTAAGCAATTTTAGTTCGCGGATAAGCCACATTAAGATAACAGGAATATAACGACAATGCGCTGTCCTGAGTTTTGAATTCGGTTAGGAAACCATGTTGGGGTTCTATTACCCAGGACCTCCACATGAAGAGCATTTGGCTGATAGTTGTGCCCCTATGGCGCATCAGAGTGCTATAGGGGGAAATGAATTATTACATCCGAACATAATTCTTAGAGGTGAACATTTTTCTCACAGGCTGGGTTTAAATAAATTGCTTGCTTGCTTGCATAAAACCATCTAGAACATCTAACGTTGATCCAACTAATGTTACAATTGTTATTCATCCGTATAAATAAATCAAAAGTAAAATAGAACCTTTATAAAAATTTACAGATGTTCTTTGCAGTCACAATCTGCCTTTATCTTTATGTTGGAATGACACATTGTTATATAATGCTTTATACTGCTATACAAAGTAGAGTGAGGCTATGCCGCAACGTTTGAAATCTTCGTGTTAGGTTTTGAAATATGTTAGGTTAGGTTCAATATGAATGGGAGCTTAACCACCCTTCCACTCAAAGGTTATTCTAAGGGGCTAGTCTATTGTGGCTCATGCCTAGCTTAAAGTTGTCCTTTCGGACCAGCCTTTTTAATCAAGTCTTTTATGTCCTTTGGTGACACTTCTACGAAGTCGTAGCTCTTGGGCTGATAATGCTCAAATGTATTGGGTCTTATCATATTCAACTCTGAGCAGTTGCACAGAAATTATGCCGTCCCGTCCTCAGCCTGACTAAATCTGCTAATCGCATTTTCTGTAGCTTTGAAAAATAGATCCGTTTTGTCGTTCTGATCAATACCAATATGTCCAGACAACCTGAGTTAACTGACTTTGTTATTTTTTTCGATCCGAATCAGATTCTGAAGACAGGTCCAAACTAACTTGGCC